TTGTTAATATATGTAAATTTTCTAGTAATGGAATTTGACCTCTCATTTTTCATAATTCTGATTTATAGCTTATCCTGTTAATTATCACTTTTCAATAAAAGCTGTTTAACTTACTACAGTATTATAAAATCAATTTAAATTATGATTGTCCTTCAAGGAAGGAATGACTTTTTAGAAATTTGCTTTGGATAGGTTTAAAGATAACTTTGCAGGTATAGAAATGTGAAAGATTGTTAATGGATGATTTCAATCTAGAATCAATACAATTGAAATTTAACACTTTTTCATAAAAAAGCCCTGTGTGACTTTATATGAAACCATAAAGTAATAGAGTTGTAATTTAGTTCTCAAATGGTTTCAGTTGTATTTCCAAAAATTTAACCAGAAAAAAGAACCTTAAAACTGACATTGTAAATATTAAGATAGTTGGTATGTCTTCCTGATTCTTACATGGACTCTTCTATGAATCACTATTGGGATTTTCTTCCCACTATTACAGCCACCCACATAGCATTCCCCACATCAAGAAAAAATCCATTTTCTGTCGCCAAGGAGTTTGGAAGCATACTAGTCTTTTAAGTTAGGATATTCTGTCACAATGCAATCTAGCAGCAACCTTCCACATTAGGAATACAGAAATCACTAAATTTCATGCTCTGTCTATGAAACTGAACCAGAGGTTTAGTGTTGGAAACTGCCTGCTGTCACCTGGCCTGTCATGCAGCTTGTTCATACAGCTTACAAAGAGCTGTATATGAAAATAAGTGGTTTTAAGTTTGGTCGTTTTCTAAAATGAATGGTTATTTTTTTAGGTATAATTTGCTTGTCAAAGAAGTATCTTTAGATAGCTACAAAACTTATAAACATGGAGATGAGAGATTTCTGTACTTTTTTAATATTACTCTTACAGTTTCTGCAGTGGTATGGCTTATTATCTTACATACACTAGACCAAGGTCAACAAACTTTTTCTGTAAAGAGCCAGATAGAAAATACTTTAGACTTTGCAGGCTATATGTGATCTCTGTTGAATGTTCTTTCAGGGCTTTTTGTTTTTGTCTTTTTTAATACCTTTAAAAATGTAAAAACCATTCTTAGCTTGAGTCTATACAGAAGCAGGCCACAAGCTAGATTTCCTCCTTGAGCTATAGCCTGCTGACCCCTGCTGTAGATTAGCGTTGTCCAGTAGAAATATAAATTGGACCATATATGTAATTTAAAATTTTCTAGTGGCCACATTTAAAAAATAAAAAGAAGCAGATGAAATGAATTCTACTACAATATTTTACCAGTTACATCCAAACTTGTTATTTCAATATGTGGCACTAACCACATTTCAAGGACTCAGTAACCACATGTACCAGGCAGCATAGTTCTGCACCAGAGCTGTTTGAAGCAGGGGCCGTGAGCTGGTGTCAGTCTACAGTTACCAGTTTTTGATAGGTTAAGTATAGAAATGAAAAACAAGCATTTAAAATATTTTATAGCAATTTAACTTTACATCTGTTCAATTAGTAAGAAACTTGGCACTTACATTTCATGTCTTTTTTACATTTCATTTTAAAAGCAATTTTATTATATTTTACAGAAGAATCAGTCTATGAAATTAAAAAGAAACTGCTTTCACTACAAATAATTTAAGAGGCCCCTTCAGTGCTTCTGCAACCAGTTTATGCTCCTGGCTCAAAACTTTGAGGAACCAGTTACCTCCGGTGGTCAGGGTGGGATATGGAGCTGAAAACAGAATGGTGGGCAGTGTGTGCATCAGTCTCCCGTGCGTCTTTCACCCTGAGCAGCCAGGAAATGACTGTTCCTTTACCTTGGATAAAACTAGAGGTCAGGGCTGGGAGGAGTTTTAAGAAGTTTAGCCGTAACTAAAGTTGGGATATCTTTTGGAAATAAGCGCCACTTTTGAAAAACAGGAACTAAGTGAAAGTGAGAATATTGAGGTTAAGACCTCACAACTCGCCTTCCCTGTGTTCAGAACATGGCAGTCAGCTGTGTGTGCCCCACACAGGAGGTTGGAGCGTTTCCTTCTGGGATGAGCAGCCAGGAGACCAAGCTTACAGATAGTATCTTTTGAGGATTCCCTAATAAAAAACCGACTCACTGTTTCCTCACCTGTAATAAAGCCAACCAGTCAGCAAGCAACGCCCTCCTGCCCCCCATCCACCCCCTGCTTCCCACCCCGCCAGGGAACAGAGCTTCTGATCAGCCTGTCAGTGCTGACGCATCATCAGACACTTAGAGAAAGCCTCTGAAGTCAAAAACAAAGATCTAAAGATTTAAGGAGAAAAAGCAGTTTACTTAGAAGAAACAGATAAAAATATTTAAAATGTTAAAAGAAGAAAAAAGGAAAACAACATTTTAAAACTTTGTATTCTTAGAGAAATGAGATAGTATATCCAGGGAAGCTGGAATAGGAAGCTATTAAAAAGAACATTCAGAGAACAGGAAAATTTGTCTTGAGAATTAAAACTGTGATACAAAGAACTGTAACTGCACTGGAACTGTTGGATGGCGATGTCAAAGAGATCTACCAGTAGAAAATGAAAAGAAAGACAGTCTTAAAAAGGAGATATATGATAATCAGAACATGAATCTAAATGGTCTAGTGTCTAATGAACTTTCAGGAGGGAGGGAGGGAAGATGGGGGAGTAAAAAGAAATTGAAAGGGCCTGGCACAATGAGTGTAAAAAAGGTCCCACACTATGGATAAAATGTGGATAAAGAATCTGCAGTGTTTCATGAAATAAAAACAGGTCACATGCAGAAGACTGGGAACTGGTATAACATTAGACTTTTCTACAGCCAAATTGAAGCCTTTAGAATAGTGGAATAAGGCCCTCAAAATTCTGAGGGTGAATTATTTCCATCCTAAAATGTTATCAACTGCTATGAACACATCATCTAGAAACAGGAAAACAGCAGAAAAAACAGCTTAACAAAATTCAAAGTAACTTTCCTTGACCCCTGGGAGTGGGAATCAAGAATGGAGAGAGTGTATCAGGCAGTACTCCTTTGTGTTATAAGCCTTGTACTGGTGTTTGACCTTTGAAACTGTAAATGTATGAGTTAGGTAAAAATAAAAAGCAACTTTAAGAAATGAGAAGGAAGCCAGGCTAAAAGGGGCTAGGATGTTAGAAGAGTACATCTACAAATTCTAGAGTCAACAAGAATGGAGCAGGAATTAGTCCTAAAAATAACAGGGCCATAAGTGAAATCTTAATATAAAAAGAATAACTGATAAAAAGTAAAACATGTTCAAATGGTGTAAGACTCAAAAAATGCTTACAAAAGATTTTTTTTGCAAGGAGGAGGAAGCAAAATGTTCTGAAATGTTCAGAGTTTAATAGATTTAACAGTCCCATCTAACATTTTATTAGAACATATACCACCTATCATGCAAATTTCTATGTACTTAATAGTAAGCTTTTAATAAAGAGGACTCTAACAGTACATTTTATGATTTCAGAGACATTAATTATCTATGTTGGCATTGTCATTATTCCAAGAGAACTGTTAGTTCAAGACCCTTTCTGTAATAAACTAAAGGGAAGATACATAATTCTTCTTGAGAAAGTTTATTTATCTTGCTCCTAGTCAGCTTCTTGAAAATGGAAGTATTTCTGACAGAGATTTAGTCAGTTATGGAAAGATCAGCTCTAATGACTCATCACTGTTAAAACTCAGTTTTCCAATACTGATTCTGAACTGTGCAGAATAGTACACAATGAGAGTAAATAAACATAAATGAAAAAAGTCAGGGGAAAAAGTGCCATAAATATTAAATGGAAAAATAGAAGAAGAAAAAGATTCTGCTGTCATATTGTGATAAAACTGGTTGAAGTTTAAGTTTAGGCTTTTCTGTTTCATCTAATGTTGATTTTTAGGTTACTAAATGAGACAGTATGCCTATAAATGTCATAGTCTTAAAATAATTTACTTGTAAAGTGCCATGAACTACTTTAGATTTTTTTTTAAAGGAGCAAGAATAAAGAACCCAAACTGCATAGTTTTTATTTTTTAATTACTATAGTATCATAACTTTTTTTCTATTGCTCTGTTACTTTCAAGTTTTTCCAGGATTAAGAATCGGGACGCTTACCTTCTATTTAAATACTGTATTATCTTTCTTTTTTCCTGTTTTCTGTTACACTCAAACTACTTGAAAATCATGGAAAAAAATTATTTCATAGGGTGAGGAGGGCAGATTAGGAATTTTAACAAGTGATTGACATGTAAGGCTTAGATTGCTAGATGAGTGGAGTAGAGTTAGTTGGTAAGTGAAATTAGATTACTGCTTAAAGGTTTTTTTTTTTAATTAATTTTGATGTATTACACAAATGTGGTCCTGATTATCACTTTTAAGAAGTTGAATGAAGATGTGTTTCAACAATGCAAAACATTTTCCGTTTATAATACTTGAGGCAGTACCTAAATTATTCAGAGTAAGGAGACAGAAACCAATGTCATAATGGCCTGATGACTCAGTGGTAAAGAATCCATTTGCAATGCAGGAGATACAGGTTTGATTCCTGGAGATCCCATGGATCGGGAAGATCCCCTGGAGAAGGAAATGGCAACCCACTCCAGTATTCTTTACTGGGAAATCCCATGGACAGAGGAGCCTGGTGGCCTACAGTCCATGGGGTTGCAAAGTGTCAGACACATCATAATGATTACCAACAACAACACACATGAGAAAGCCACCAGAGTTTAATTAAAAGGGTTTGTTTCCTTTCCTCTGTATTCTGTGTGAAGGGAGGGAGAAAGTGAGGACTAGCTTGGGTAACGGTGCCACAGTAGGGTCTCATAACCCAACAGGTGCCAAACCTCATTGCCATAATGGGGTGATGTAATGTAAATTTCTGACCAGAACCACTGATGTTTCTCATGAGAAAAAGAGGGGTGGGTACTTACTGCCTTTTTTGTTTTCACACACTCCTTTGATTAATTTTTCTTCTTTTTCTATTTTTTTGTCTTTAGGTCTTATAATCAATGGATAAAGTGGGGAAAATGTGGAATAACTTCAAGTACAGGTGTCAGAATCTCTTCGGTCACGAGGGAGGAAGCCGTGAAAATGTGGATATGAACTCCAACAGATGTTTGTCTGTCAAAGAGAAAAACATCAGTTTAGGAGACTCAGCTCCTCAGCAGCAAAGCAGTCCCTTAAGAGAAAATGTTGCCTTACAACTAGGGTTAAGCCCTTCAAAGAATTCTTCAAGGAGAAACCAAAACTGTGCCACTGAAATTCCTCAGATTGTTGAAATAAGCATTGAAAAGGATAATGACTCGTGTGTCACCCCAGGAACAAGACTTGCAAGAAGAGATTCCTACTCTCGACATGCTCCTTGGGGTGGGAAGAAGAAACATTCCTGCTCTACAAAGACACAGAGTTCACTGGATACGGATAAAAAGTTCGGTAGAACCCGAAGTGGACTTCAGAGGAGAGAGCGGCGGTACGGCGTCAGCTCCGTGCACGACATGGACGGTGTGTCCAGCAGGGCTGTAGGAAGTCGCTCTCTGAGACAGAGGTTGCAGGATACTGTGGGCTTGTGTTTTCCCATGAGAACTTACAACAAGCAGTCAAAGCCCCTATTTTCTAATAAAAGAAAAATACATCTTTCTGAATTAATGCTTGAGAAATGCCCTTTTCCTGCTGGCTCAGATTTGGCCCAAAAATGGCATTTGATTAAGCAGCATACGGCCCCTGTGAGCCCACATTCAACATTTTTTGATACATTTGATCCATCCTTGGTTTCTACAGAAGATGAAGAAGATCGGCTTCGAGAGAGAAGGCGGCTTAGTATTGAAGAAGGGGTAGACCCCCCTCCCAACGCACAAATACATACATTCGAAGCCACTGCACAGGTTAACCCGTTATATAAACTGGGACCAAAGTTAGCTCCTGGAATGACTGAAATAAATGGGGATAGTTCTGCAATTCCACAAGCTAATTGTGACTCAGAAGAGGACACAACCACGCTGTGTTTGCAGTCACGGAGGCAGAAGCAACGTCAGGTATCTGGAGACAGCCATGCCCACGTTAGCAGACAGGGAGCCTGGAAGGTCCACACGCAGATTGATTACATACACTGCCTCGTGCCAGACTTGCTCCAGATCACAGGTAATCCCTGTTACTGGGGAGTGATGGACCGCTACGAAGCAGAAGCCCTTCTGGAAGGGAAACCTGAAGGTACATTTTTGCTCAGGGACTCTGCACAAGAGGACTACCTCTTCTCTGTGAGCTTCCGTCGCTACAACAGGTCCCTGCATGCCCGAATTGAACAGTGGAATCACAACTTTAGTTTCGATGCCCATGACCCATGTGTGTTTCACTCCTCCACTGTAACAGGACTTTTGGAACATTACAAAGACCCCAGCTCTTGCATGTTTTTTGAACCATTGCTTACAATATCACTAAACAGGACTTTCCCTTTTAGCCTGCAGTACATCTGCCGTGCAGTCATCTGCAGATGCACGACATATGATGGAATTGATGGGCTCCCTTTACCATCGATGTTACAGGATTTTTTAAAAGAGTATCATTATAAACAGAAGGTTAGAGTTCGCTGGCTAGAACGAGAACCAGTCAAAGCAAAGTAAACCCTCCTGTCCCCAAAGGGCATTGACTAGATCTGCTTTTATGTGCACCAGGCAGTATACCCGTAGCAAGCACACATATCAGTGTTAGGTCTTCAGTACAGTATGTAAGCTTAGTGTTAGTATCTGTCAGGGGCAGTCTGCTGTTACTTTTACTCAGTACATGTGGTGCCTATTGAGACAGCAGGGGGTAGAGCTACAGGTATTCAGGAAGGCTGCAAAAACATTCTGCCGATTTAGCTGACAGTTTGGTTTTTAATGGTTGTAGTAACTGAGTGAAGCAACTCTGGGGCATTTGCTATGAAGAATTCTATTTCTTACTGAAGAACAAATTGTTAATATTGAATGAGTATTTCAACGGTATGACTAATGTTTGAAATTATTTTTTCTAAGAATTTTTCTATAACCTTCCAAAAGTAGTGATGTTTATAGTTACTATAAGTCAAGTTTGGAAGTCCAAAAAAATAAAGACTGCCTTCCTTTTAGAAAAAAAAATGCAATTTTCTGGCCACAAGGGCATAGTGCAGTTCATGTAAGTATTGATATAGTTTATAGTCAGTCTCCTTTTCTCTTCTGCAAAAGGTACTGTTAAGTAAACCAGGTTTTCTAAGTAGTAGTTCTTAAAATTTCAGACTTATAGAAAGTTGGTAGTAGAATTTTATTTAAGGCCTTACGTATTCATTTTTTAATGAGTGCTTTAACTTAAAGCGCATTGGAAATAGCTGCTGCAAGGTAGGCCTGCGTGTGATTTTTTTTTAAGCTGACATGTGCAGTCGAGTTGCTGGTTAGTTAAAGTTGGATCTTTTTCTATGCCCATGATGAGTTTGTGAGCCATGAAGAAAGTGAGACGAGACGATACCCAGACAAGTCAGATGATACTAACTACAGTGGTTGCTGGTCATTGAGATTATTGTTAAACTGTAACTCATAATTGGGATAGCAGTATTTATCTCTTTGTTGTAAACTCTTATAGCTGAATTGCTTAAGTACAAGTTATAGAATTTCAGTGCACTTAATTTTTAATGGAAAATCTGAAACCTAAATTGCTGATTTAAAAGGTACTGTACAACCATTGTATCTGTAAATAACTTTACTTAGCTCCTTTTTGTCACTTAGAATAGTATGCAATACTACTTGAGTGAGCTATTTTGGACGTAATACCAAGTTCTAGTGTTTGCTTCTTAGTATTGAACCGAATTTACAGTCCGTCTTAGACATTTTGCACTAAAGTAGTCAAATCTGTTCTCGTGTCTTTCTGTTAACGTGCTCTGTACCACTGGTGAGTGCTCCCTAGTTTCCTTACCTGCTGCTACAGAAAGTTATTTTACATCCCAATGGCTATTGCCAAGGCCACAAAAAAGGAAAGCTATATTTGTATGCAACACTAACCCTTGGACTGCTAATGTATGTTTCTGCTTGCTGTGCCTTGTTACAGCTGCTTTTTTGTGCTAATAAAGTATGTTTGGTGTTCTCCTTGTATATCTGCTGTTTTATACATTTGCAACAATTTCTCTTGTAAATGGAATGGTTTGGGGTTTTTAAATAAGCATTACCTGGCAACCTACTATAGTTAATGCAGAATTACTGAACAGTCTGATATTGACTTATTCCAAGTAAGCTAATTCTAAATTTAATTCTGTACATCTTTTCAATCATAATCACATATACTATGGAACAGTATCTCTCTAGTTACAGAAAATTACTGTATAGTTTAGGTTATAACAGAAAATGAACAGAGAAATACTGACTAAACCTATTGATTTCTCTGCTTATAAGTGAAAGATTGAAACTATCAATGACATGTTACAATAGATGAATATCTGTAGCCTCCTGCATCAGAAGCAAGTTAAATGAAGTCTTGTGAACTAATAATACAGTAGCACCATTTATTGGTTTGGGGACCATTTTAATTAATAATAAATACCCAAAATGTAGACACTTTAACCAAAGACTTGTCCATTTTAAAGCAAAATGGGGATTGAAGGGACTTATAATTCCTGTCATTTCTTATAGAAGTCCCTGAAGAACATATACCAAAGTGTTTGAGAACGTCATCCAAACCTACTTTAACGCATTATGTGCAATTAAGTTGTTATGACATAATTACATTGCATAATTGTTGGGTCCGTTTTCTTGAACTTATAATGTACCTGCAAAATAAACCTCTTGGGGAGATAAAGAGTTCATACTGATTATTGGAGAAAGACTATATATATGCAAGCAAGATCTTGTTTTAAAGAGGTAACTTGAAACTCCAAGAAAGCACTTGATGTTTTATATGCTTGTAGGAAATTGATGTTTTAATTGTAGTTTTATAGAAAGTATTAATGCTTTTATGTATTTCAGAAATTTCTTATGTTAAATGGAAATTGTTTTAAATGTGTAAATATTTGAGTTTATGTAAGCATGTATACACTGTGCTAAAAGTCACTTATGTTTCAGTTTGTGTGTAATATTCATATGCAACTTTTGGTTTAAATTTTTTCCTTAAAAAAATTAGTGGCTTACATTTTAAAAAAAGAAAAATCACCAGCATGAAACTGCACCTAAGTCTATATTCCCTGTGTCTTTTTCTGAATCCCACTGTAGTCTGTCAACTAAATTTATGTTTTCATGGTTTTTTTGAAGTGCATTTGAATACAAACTAGGAAATTCTTTAGAACTTTAGACACTTCATAGAGAAGTAATTATAATTAACCCAAAGAAAGATTGCTCTGGTTCGTATACATTGTCATTCTTAAGTTCATTATCCATTCATTCATATTCTCTATATACATACACACATACATATGTGTTTATGATGTTAATATTACTTTCAACATTAATATTGACATCTGATTCAAAATCATTTAAAGGCTTTATATAGATAGATAGATAGATATAAATATACACTCTATCCTTGTACCATTCAGATTTGATTATCTGCACCTGAAGTTTAGACTTGTAACTATAATCTTGTTTGTAATATCTTATAAAGAGAAAGCATTCATTAGTATTTTCTTTACTGGCTAAACACAGTAAAGATTCTTTGAAGAAACGGCTTGGTTTAAATATAGTTATTAAGAGTCATAATTAAATTTATATTTCTTAGACAAAAGTTGAGCCCAAATAATCACACTTCACAAACTGATTTGTGTTCTTATGGTCCATCAGAAGATTTACATAAGATTTATAGTTTCTTGAACCATAAAAATTGATATTTGAATTCTGAGCCTCATTTTGACAAAATTCAAAGTTTATGAACATTTTAATTTGACGTTTTGACCTTGTTGCTGTTCATTTTCATCCTAAGTTTTCTCTTGCTCCATATCACTAAATATTAGTTTGGTAAGTTTTATTGAGATTGGTCTTAGATCCCTTATTTTTATAACAAAGAAAGCTATAAAGTTGCTTTTTGGTAGTGACAGAGTCTGGAGTGAGCCAGAACTCTCCTAGGAAAGATACAGAGCCTAATTCCATCTCTGGGAGTGTGTTAATTGTTAACAGGGGGCAGATCACATGAGTTCCATCATACTCTGTACCACAACACATACAGTTTAACCCAGATGAAATTAGAAAAACATGCACACTAAGGGCTGACTTAAAGGTGAGAAATATTTCCAAAGGAGGCAATACTGCTTGGTGCATAAAAACTACGTATCTCGGCTCATGTTTTGTTTCATATTTTTGCAACAGCCAAATACAGAACATAGACTTTCACAATGTGGTATATTTCTAAGGAGGTTTGGGATGGAGTTTTTGTGGGAGGTGGTTGGTGGTTTGGTGGGGGCGGGGTGTGGGTGAATTGTCCTTACAAAGTAAGGATCAGTTGGAACAACTTTCCATACCCAGGAAGCTTGATTAAATATTAAGACTCATTTCAGCTATTCGTTCAACAAATACTCATCGAAGACCCATGTGCCCATCACCATTTTAGTGATGGGCACACATTGGGTTATCAGACAAAGTTATAGGGTCATTGGTGACCTTGAGTGATGAGAAAATCACCAATATCAAAGAAAAGTATTTTGATGAACAATAAAACTAACGATCTGAAAGGAGGAATGAGCTTTTGTACTGAAAAAGAATGCTAGTAAGCCAAGTCCAGTGAGTTTGGTGGAAAATGGTAGGTAAGAAGGTTGTAGAGATTGACAAGGGCCTGACCAATTAGGGCTGTGGATCCAAAGTAAGGAATCTAAATTTTATTCTGAGTCTGATGGTAATAAGGGGGTGACATGGTCTGCCTTATATTCCTTTAATAGATGGAGAACAAGCTGCAGTGGGGCAAAATTGTAGTCATCCTGGTGAGAGATGGTGAGAGCCTCGATTGGAGTGGTAGTCATAGGGAGGAGACTTTTGCTGGAAAAAGATAACAGGATTTGGTGATAGGTTGGATGTGAAGAAAGGAGAAATCAAAGATGACTGATTTTGAGCAAAGGATGGTGATGCTATGATTTTAGAATAACATTGGAGGAGCAAATTGGGGAGTATAAGTCAAATCTTGACCTTATGTATGTTGAATTTAGAAATTACTATTATCTCAGTAGAGACATTGGGATGTATGAATTACTATTAGTTATCTCAACAGAGACATTGGGATGTCTGAATTACTATTAGTTATCTCAGTGGAGACATTGGGATGTCTGAATGTAGAGTTAAGGGGGAAAAGAAAATATGGGGCATTGCTATATGACTAATACTACAGGACAGGATGGCAAGAGCTAGGAATTGCAGGGCTTAAGTATTTCTTTGGAAAAAGTGAAAGTGTTCGTTGCTCAGTCATGCCCAACTCTTTGAGACCCCATGGACTGTAGCCCACCAGGCTCACCTGTCCATGGAATTCTCCTGGCAAGAATACTGGAGTGGGTTGCCATTTCCTCTCCAAGGGATCTTCCCAACCCAGGGATCAAACCCAGGTCTCCTGCATTACAGGCTGATTCTTTACCATCTGACCCACCAGGGCAGACCTACCAGGGTAGCAAGTATTTCTTTGGGAGAAGTAATTATGGCAGCACTTACCTTAA